GAGGGCGAGGGAGAGAAAGGGAGAGCCAGGGGGAGAAAGGGACGAAGGACCGACAGAATCACTGACAGGCAGGCTGGCAGCAGGCAAAGAGCGAGAGAGGAGGAAGAGGGAGGGAGAGGGTGGGTGCAAGCAAGGAAATGGGGTGAGGGGAGGAAGAGAGACAGACAGACAGAAGGAGGGAGAGTGACCGAGTAAGAGACAGCCAGTGAGTGAAAGAGAGAGATGCTCCCTCACTTTCTCCCTCCCTCCGCTCTCCCCTTTCTCCCTCCCTCCCTCGCTAAATCCATCGCCCCCTTCCTCGCACACACACTCCCTTGTCAGAGGCAGCCGGGCCTTGTCAGAGGCAGCCGGGCCTTGTCAGAGGCAGCCGGGCCTTGTCAGAGGCAGAGCCGGGCCTTGTCAGAGGCAGCCGGGCCTTGTCAGAGGCAGCCGGGCCTTGTCAGAGGCAGCCGGGCCTTGTCAGAGGCAGCCGGGCCTTGTCAGAGGCAGCCGGGCCTTGTCAGAGGCAGCCGGGCCTTGTCAGAGGCAGCCGGGCCTTGTCAGAGGCAGCCGGGCCTTGTCAGAGGCAGCCGGGCCTTGTCAGAGGCAGCCGGGCCTTGTCAGAGGCAGCCGGGCCTTGTCAGAGGCACAGCCGGGCCTTGTCAGAGGCAGCCGGGCCTTGTCAGAGGCAGCCGGGCCTTGTCAGAGGCAGCCGGGCCTTGTCAGAGGCAGCCGGGCCTTGTCAGAGGCAGCCGGGCCTTGTCAGAGGCAGCCGGGCCTTGTCAGAGGCACAGCCGGGCCTTGTCAGAGGCAGCCGGGCCTTGTCAGAGGCACAGCCGGGCCTTGTCAGAGGCACAGCCGGGCCTTGTCAGAGGCACAGCCGGGCCTTGTCAGAGGCACAGCCGGGCCTTGTCAGAGGCACAGCCGGGCCTTGTCAGAGGCCGCACAGCCGGCCGCCTTGTCAGAGGCACAGCCGGGCCTTGTCAGAGGCACATGCTGCCCTGCGGCGCGTAGGGAGAGCGGCAAGGGGACCGGTGGAAGCTGCGAGCAAGAGGTTTGTATCGTTCAAACAGCTACCTAAGCATGGTACTACAGTATGATGAGAGCGTTCGCAACCTGCTGTATCGGAGATCATGCCAATACACGCAGGGTGAGCGCTCTGGAGGCCACGTCGAAGAGGCCGCCGACCTCGTCGAGAGAGTGAAGCCTTCACCAAGCGTTATCCGAATAGTCGGACAGCTCATGCTTGCAGAGCTGAGGGGGGATGCACTCCCGACGCTATCGCTGAAGCCATCCGCTCGACATGTCGGCAGGCGAGACGCGACCTGTTTGAAGACTCTCTGAGTGAATGGAGCTCAGAGTCGAGAGCATGGTTTATTCAACAGATGGAGGAGGCCAAGAAGCAGAATGTCGAGACATACATCGGCACCGAAGGCACCGAGGGGACCTCCTTCATCTCCATGACTCTCCTGGGCATCTCCTCGATGTTTGTTCGACAAGAAGACAAATTGAAAACAAAGCTCATGGAGCTGGGGCTCATGGTAGACTCAGTCGATGGAGGCGACAAGGCCATCATGTGGAAAGCACCTTACAGACCTGAGATAGCACGAGCAGACGACATCTCAGTCACCGTCTCCTTCCTTCGGAATGAAGCAGCCATGGAGCTATGGGAAGGCAGGAAAGAATACACTATAGACGGCAGAGCGTTTAAAGCAACGGAAGTCAGCATAGCACACGGCTCTCGGAGGAATGTCGACGGCCGAGATCGCTCAGATTTATCGATTTCAGCTGGTCTCGCAATCTCTTGCAGCCGCAGAGGTACAACCGCTTGCTGGCATGCTCGTGCAGGGTGCTGGGCAGAGAGGTCGCAAGGGGCCGAGCCCGAAGACGTATGTCGCTGTTGGGGCAAGTACCGGAACTCTCCAGCAAAAAGAGCTAGAGTGGGTGCTGAGCTCGCCTTCGACGGCAAGTTGCGAGCAGACCTTGGCCTCGTTCAGAGAGAGCGAGGCGATGGAGGGGGTGCACCTGACCCTCATCAGCGACGACGCCAAGCTCAGAGAGACGTTTGCAGTCGAGCTCACAGCCGACACCTTCGTTCCTAGGGGAAAGATCGCTAAGCAAAGGAGGGCACTTCGCGAGAGAGATCATGCGGGGCGCAGCAGCTTCAGAGTGCAGATCAAGTCGAGGTCAAGCATGAGCACAGGCCGCTTCTCGAGGAAGGAGATGGAAGCACTGTGCGGAGGAGGTAACACATCGATCACGAGAGTCAAGCGAGCCATGTTGGAATTAGCAAGAAGGATAGGCGTGACGCCGGTCAGCGTCGAGGTCGAGGAGGATCGTGACACGCTCAGCTGGGATGGGAGCCTGATAGCTCTCTCCCTGGCGACCAAGGCAGAGGCTCGACGCTTGATGGACGACATGCACTTCTACTTGGAAGGGATTCTGGAAGTTAAGCTGGAAGCTATGGGTTTTAAGCTTAACCCTCAGCATGAGGAGGAGAGGAGCCCGAGCAGCGAGGAGCAAGCCCAAGAGTCCCAAGGGCAGCAGCAAGGCGCTGGATGGCTGGAGCTCAGCGACATCGACAGGATCACCATGGAAGCAGCGTCGCCGTCAGGGCCAGTCGATCATGGCAACAGGTCTTGGTCGACCTCTCGTCGATGCTCTTGGAGACATCAGAGGAGGAGCTGCTAGCTGGCAAGCCGATCTCCCTGGAGCTAGACAAGAGT